GAGATAGTGGTAGAGGTGGAGGTGGTGGTAGAGGAGATGGAAGTACTGCTGATGGAGGTGGTAGTGGAGGTGGAATTTGTGTTAGAGGTGCTGGTAGAGATGGAGCTGGACATAGGTGGTGGAGGTGAAGTTGACGGTGTTGGCAGAGGTGGAGTTGGTTTTTGAGGCATTGTTGTTGTTGTTGTTGGTGGTGGTGGTGGTGGTGGTGGTAGTGGTGGAGGTGGAGGTGTATGTTTAGGTGGGGGTAAAGGTGGAGGTGGAGTTGATGGTGTTGGTGGAGTTGGTGGTGGAGGTGTTAGTGGTGGTGCTGGTGGTGGTAGAGGTAGTGGTGCTGGTGGTGGTGAAGGTGGATGTGGAGGTAGAGGCAGAGGTGGAGGTGAAAGTGGTGGTGGTGGTGGTGGTGGTGGTGGTGGTGGTGGTAGGCTGAGTTATACGGAATAGGAATTTACCGCCATGAGAAAGGCCTAATTATGCCTCTGTCAGAAAAGTGCTCCTGAATGGCTGGTCTGAGAACTAAAAGATCTAGTGCTTTTCTTAGGTCTGCAGGAGTGAACAACTTTCTGGCCCACCTTAGAGAAGGCGAGGCCCCTGAGGTCAGCATCTGTGACATTTTCAATGTCACATCCTCAATACTCAAGCTCAGTGCCCCGCCACAACAGAAATGCAGTAAACAGACACCTTTTGAACAAAGTAGCCATGGAAGTGGCTCTGGACCGAGAGTGTGATGGTGCTGACTCAGAAGCCAAGCAGAGGTGAGGCAGATTTTTAATTTCAACTTAGCTCATTCAGAAAATGTAATGAGCAAGCACAGTCAGCGTGTGGCACATGGCTGTTCTAGAAGGGGTCAATAATATTGAAATTCCACAATATATATTCTATTGCATAACAGGTTATAAAAATGCCTTCGCAGGTATCTCATTTGATCTCAACCTATTCCCGAGAGATGATTATTACCCATGTTCCAGACGGGTCCTGAGCCTGAGAAAAGTGGAACGGCGCTCTCCCAGCAATTGCATTTGCTCTCCCTCCATCCTGAGCTTTTCCCGCTCCTCCTATCCTTCATAAAATTCAGTGGTTGCTTCTCATTCAGAATTGGCTGAAGTTAAAATTAGAGGGGGCAGCCACAGCTTTTAAAGCTCACCCTACTAAGTCATATCACGGGCATCTCCTTTTATTACTCTTGACAGCTAGATGATGGGAATTACCAAGGCTGGGCTACATGACACCAAATGGGTTAACAACCTTTTTAATAGCTTTCTTTTCCCCAGGATATTACCAAAGGACTGCGACTCCCCACATGCTCAGCATTTGCTCAGCATGACACTGTCACACACATCCCCAGAAAGGGAACCTGCAAAAAGTCACGGTGGGTCAGCAGTCAAAGAGATTTACAAGTTAGGACCAGAGTGACCTCCTAGTCCATGTTTGCTCATGACTTGGTTGGTCTGTTTGATTTCAGGAAAAGCAAATGAAAAATCAGAAGCCAAATGTTTGCTTAGGTCCCGGCTTCCCTCGCAGAACAAACCTACAGGTAGTCTGCTATCAGAAGAAGTCATTTCATACCTCGTACACGTTGTCCCCCAGATTGCCCTTTCCTCTCTGGTTTCCAAACACACCCTTATTCAGCCTGCAAGACCCAAAGCAAATGCCACTCTTCCTGGCACCCTCCCGCCTGGCACCCAAAGCCTATTCTCCTCGGAATCCTTCTCTCTCTGTTTTAACTGTTTGTGTATCAGATTTTCCCAATGACTTGGAGTTCTGTAAGAACAGGGGCTATGGTGTTTAGCCCTGTGTGAAAGAAAAACTGGTTCTCACAGAGGAGACCCAGGAGCTCAGAATATAGGCTAGGAGTTTTTAAGCTTTTAAAATCATAGCCCACAGCAATAAATGTATGCTATATCATGATCAAGTAATAAGTAGGCATGCACAGGTAGAAGATAGATGATAGAAGGTAGATAGATTGATAGATGATAGATAGATGATAGATAGATGATAAATAGAAGACAGATGATAGATACATAGATGATAAATGATAGATGCATAGTACATAGATACATAGATGATAGATAGATAATAGATAGATGGATAGATATGTAGATAGATTCATAGATGATAAATACATAGATATATAGGTGATAGATAGATGATACATACATACATAGATGATAGATAGATAGATAGATAGATAGATAGATAGATAGATAGATAGTTTGTAAAACTGAAACCAAAGTTCACAAAGTAATATCACAAGAGGCCAGGGAGATAGCTCAGTTGAGTAAGCGCTTGCCTGGCAAGCACATGGGCCTGAGTTCAATCACCAGCTCCGCAAAAAAAAAAGGTAATACCACAAGAAGCACTACTGTCTGGGATTTGTTTTCCAATCTGTTCTGCATTATTTAAAAAAGTGTGTATCATCGTGCACCAAATCCATTTCAAGACAAATCAGTGAGTCGCAAATTGCAGTTTGAAAAACAGTGGTGCAGTGAACACTATCTGTCACTCGTTTGTTCCCTAATTTTCCATTTCTGTCCTCTGAATGGCTGAAAGAGAAGAGGAAAAAGAAAAGAGCAGAAAGAGGAGGAAAGGGAGGGGTGTTGAGATATAATCCCAGGGGTGCCCTCTTTTGGGGAGGCCTCCCCAGATTTCCATCATCTCCAATGATACCATCAAACTATGAATCTCCCAATGGCTCCTATAACTAGGACTGGGTATTAGAAACTAAACAAACTGTTCATGGGAAATTTTATTAAACTTTAGGCACAGACAAGCTGCTTTAGGGTCTGGATCAAGGCTCTGCAAACTACAACCCTTGCTTCAAATCTACTCGTCTGCTTGTTTTCGTAAATCAAGTTTATTGCAGTCCACAAACACACACACACACACACACACACACACACACACACACACATCATTTATACATGGCCTGCGGCTGTTTCTGCTACAATTGCAGAGTTGGAAAGTTGCAATCAAGACTGTATGACCCAGAAAGGCAAAAAATATTTACTATCCAGCTCGGGGCAAGAAAGCTTGCTAGGCTCTAGCGTAGATGGAAAGTGACCCCTGCCACCCTGGCGGCAGCCAGAAGGGCTCTGCGGCATTAGGGCAGAACCAGGGGCCGGGGAAAGGTCTCTCTGAAAGTACAGCAGATCATTTTGTCCCTTCCCCAGTACTGCCGGGCTGGACACACAAGCCAGCACAGCCTGCTGGTCAGGTGAATTCTGGATGGGGACAGCTGCGCAGCAGCCCCGCCTTCGGGAGCACCTGGGAGCGCTTGGGTGTCAGCTGTGACTGCAAAGAGGCGGGCTCTTGAGCCAGCTGATACTGACACGGGGCTTCACATGCATTTCCAGGGACTGGGATGGGAAAGATATGGAGGGTACTAACCACAAGTCATTTAATACTGATTATTTCTTAAATCATAAAGGAATCGGGCTGGGGATGTGGCTCAATGGGCCGAGGAGATGGCTCAGTAGAATAAGCGCTTGCCTGGCAAGCTCAAGGGTCTGAGTTCAATCCCCAGTTCCACAAAAAAAATAATAAAAAAGCAAAGAAAAAAAAGGAATCGGCAGCGTGTGGTTCAGAAACTGACTCTCCTCACAGCCCGTCTCAAAAGCAATGCCGGTGAGGAGCCCGGATGTGTGCAGCCCAGAGCAGCAACCTTCCCTCCTACCTGAGACTGAGGCTTCTGTGCTATTTGGCAGCTAGTAGAAAAGGTGGTAATACCATGACTGTGGTCATAGTGATTACATAGCTAATAGTTATAGCTGATAGGTTTCCAATGCTGCGCAGCAGCTTTCTGTATAGCAGTTCACTTTAGTTCTCTTAACAGGAAGTTCTATTTAAATGTCATCTTCCAGATGAGGGAACTGAAGCCCCACCAGGCTGGGCTGAGGCGAAACAGTGAGTGGGTGAATTAAAACTTGAAAATGAGAATCTTTAAAAGAAAACAAATTGGATCCTGGGATTAACAGAAATGCTAGCCAGCTGTCATCTGGCTAGAATGGTGTTAAAAAGCAGAGGTGTCCAAGCGGTCTGTGGTGGCACATGCCTGTAATTCCACCACTCCGGAGGCTGAGGCAGGAGGATCTGGGCTACAAAATTAGATCAAGGCCAGCTGAGCTGCATAATGAAATCTTGTTGTTTTTTTGTTTGTTTGTTTGTTTGTTTGTTTGTTTTAAAAGAGGCATCCAGTAGAAAATGTCTGTGCCCAGAGAGGCCCCGCAGCAGCAGCAGAGGCTGGGGTATGGCAGCTTCTGTAAGGAGAAGTCAGGAGGAAGCAAGGTCCCCCAATGAAGTAATAGTGCAGACACTTCTCCAGGACACGCGTGGACCCGAGTCACCATAACTGGGCGTCTGGAGAAGTGAGTCCTGTTATAAACACAGGCAGGGAAGACCAGACATCCCAGTTACTCATCTCCAGGTGGCCTGGCCGCGGCTCCTGTGTGTAGAGCACAGTGAAGGTGAGCCGCAAGTTTCTCCTGCACTGACTATTCCCTTTCTCTCCTAGATGTAGCAGTCCCAGATACTTAGGGTCTACTCAGCTCGAAGACCTCCGTGGCTGAAACAAAGCTCCGAAGTCCACTGGCCAAGACATTGCTTTATTTAACTGAGGTCACACGATGTTGAACAGATCTGTCCAGCTTCCGCCCCACCAAAAAGAAAAGCCCTTCGTTGTCAGAAGTGGTGGAGGCGTAGCCTTCCGAGATCACCTCAAACTGCTTGATGCTATAGCTGGCCTCTTTCACCGCAGCCTCTACTGCCTCCGGGCCCAGGGAGAGGCTGGGGAACCAACCGCTGCTCGGAAACCGTGCAGTAGCTGCTCTTCAGCGCATCTACGAGCACCAGGAAGCCCCCCGGCCTGAGCAGGCTGCCGAGATTCCTGTAGGCAGCGCGGTAGACAGGGAGGTCCCGGCAGGCCGCGTGCAGGCACAGGGTGCAGAGCAGGCAGTCAGCGGGGGGGCACGAGGACCCCGCCCAGAGGCTGGCTCTGCGTCACGTCACACCTGATCACCCGCGTGACTGCCTGCCTCAGCTTCTCCTCCTTCTCTGGCCCCTTGACTCTGAAAAACACAAAGTGAGCAGCATCACTGGCTAGCCCCATCAGGGAGCCCGGTAGCAGTGTGACCCCAAATGTGAATCCTTAGGATGATGCATGTGCAGAAAGAAGAAATGAGGGACTCTTTTGTGATCCAAATGTGGCTATATACTACCTTAAGCGGAGCCGAGGCTTCTGATCAAGTGAACGGTAAATGGGAATGATAATAGTTATAGTAATACCCAGCTGACTGCTTCTACAGCTAAATTCACGTTGCCTCCACTTCTTCATTGACTTATTATGATACTTGTCTCCTCCGCCAAACTGCAAAACCATGGCTATTTTACTCATGCATAGCAAGTAATAACAGACTTAAAATGCCGACAGATTGTCTTTGTAGAGGTTGTTGAATGACATGGAATGAGCGCAGAGGCATAATACATAGACATTTTAAAAACTGTCCTATGACTGGCCAGAGCCCCACTGGAAAGAAGAAATACCAAGTCCTTACTATCAGGCTCCAAAGAATTACTGCAGACAGAGAGGATTTTCTGAGGCAGATCATTTTCTTGGTAGCCTTGCCAAGAATCCCATCCTCTTCTGCCAGATCAAAGGACTCTCTTGAGGGAAAATCAGTTAATGCATGAAAACAAAGCAAGGGCAGCGGATGGAACAGAGTAATGTGCTGCTGCGGTGTGGATTTGGACGGATCCCCAAGGCCCACATGTCAAAGGCCCAGCCCCCAGCTTGGTGCTATTTCAGAGGGCCAACTACTGAAAGGTCTTTGGGCCACTGGGTACCCAACATCAAAGGGACTCTTGAGATTTTAGTCCTTTCTTTCTTTTGCCTTGTAGTGACTGGCTTTGCTTTCCCACATGTTCCCACATGGTACTCCCATCTGACATTCCAACATGTCATTTCCACAAGATGTTCTGCCCTACCACAGGCATGAAGGTAACCACAAGCCATGAAACCATGAACTAAGATGAACTTTTCTTTATAGGTCAATTAATTCCTATGTAGTTATAGTAACACAAAGACCCTTGATTAACATGCTTGGGTCCTATTAGAATTTGTTAGGGGAGGAATGAAGGAATAAACTATCAAAATTAAATAAGTCCAGCATAGTGGCACACAGCTGTAATCCCAGCACTCTCAGGCAGGAGAATCACAAGTTCAAGCTCAGCCTGGGCAACTCAGAGAGACCCAGTCACAGAAAATTCAAACAAACACATAGAGTGCACAAGAGAATCTAGAAAGGGGGAAGAGGAGAGAAAAAGAAATAGTAGAAAAATCAGAGAGGTGAGAGAAGAGAAAAAAAAAACAATGAATGGATAAATTACTCAATGCCCAGAGCACCAATAGTAGAGTGCTCACAGGACAGGGGACTTTGAGGAAATTGATCAACATTGTACCAGGGAACACACAGTTCATTGCCTCATAGATGTCAGGAAAAGACAGCCACTAGGGCAAGAAAGTTGGGTGAAAACAACAGAGGATGCTCCAATTTTGAACAACTGAGAGACTTTTCCTCTGGTCATGAGGAAAAGTCAATGATTTAAATAAAATGTACCTATTTAACTTTGTGTAGAAAGACTAGAGATACTGAAAAATATTTGTGAGCATTCAATTTAAATTTAAATATCATAGGGCCAGCCAAATAGCTCAGCAGATTAAAGCATCTGCAAGCAGGTACATGGGCTGGAGGTTAGATCCCCAGCCTGCTCTGCCAGCTCCACCCCCGGGGCACTAGGCATGGTGGCACATGCCTGTAATCCCAGTTCTTGGGAGGTTGTAAACAGGTGGATCACTATGAGTCCAATCTAGTAGTGAGACCCTGAACACCCTGTAGACCCTTCCCTAAAATTCAATAAATAGATAAATAAATAAATAAATTTAAATATCTCTCATTTAAAAGCTTAGTGAAAAAAAATAAAAAATAAAAGCTTAGAAAGATACTGGAAGTTTCCTCAAAAATTGGACATAGAGTCATTACATAACCTGGAATTTCAGTCCTAGGTATATACCCAAGAGAAATAAAAACATATACCCACACAAAAGCTTAACAAAAGCTTACAGATAAGTAGCCAAAAAGTAAGGATCATACATATGTGCACCAACTTATAAATAGGTAGATAAAATCTGTAATAGATAGAGATAAATATGCAGATATATATCTAGAGAGACCTATCTATAGATGCATATAGAGATCAATAGGTATAGAGTGAGAGAGAGAGACAGACAGACAGAGTATTTGTCAACAAAATGAAGCTCTAATGTGTGCTACAATGCAGATGAGCCTCGAAGAGAAGATAGTGAGATAAGCTTAACCAAAAGGCCACATATTGCATGATTCAGTTTGTATGAAATACCCAGAAAAGGAAAATCTATCAAGACCGAAAGCATCGTGGCTGCCAGAAGACAAAGGATTGGTGTGTGTTCAGGGTGAGGGCTGATGGATGGTTTCCAGGATGGGGACTTATAAAAATGTTTGAAAACAAATTGTGGTTAGAGTTACAAAGCGCAGAACCATCGAAGGCTGTACTTTAAATAGTTCTATTAATTCAGATAGTTAAATAACTATTTAAATAACTAGATTTAAACTCAAGCCTGACATAGCTCTTCAATAAGCTTTGTATTTTAAAAAGACAGATGGGGAAAGGCCCTTTTTTTCACCAAGTTTTGTTTTTTTTTTTTCATTTTTAGTTTTTCACAACCAAAATGGTCCTTTATTTATACTTTGGCAAAGTTAGTAACATGTGAAACAAGGTTGCCTAGTGACCAACAGCTGATCTTAACCAGGCAGGATGTTTAGGTAGCGTGTTTGCTTTAGGCACTGAGGCCTAGTCCCACCTACATGCATTTGATCAATTACCTAGCTTCCGTGGCTGCCCATATATCCCCCTTTTTTTTCTGTTTTGTCAGAGATGGGTGTTCCATTGCAGTTAGAGAAGCTGTATTTGGAGAAGTCTTTAAAGGACCTTTTCATACTTGATGCCAGTTCAAAGATTGTAGGTACTTGAATTCAGCAAAATAACCTAATATAGTCCAATAGTCCATAATAGTAGTGAGTTATCAGCACAACTGGTAATTGTCAGAAGTTGTTGACTTGAGCCTGTTATAGCTCAGCACATTAATATGGCATTATGTTTTATACCTTGTGGTTACTCTTTTTTGCTGGGTGGTTAAGACTAAGTTAAAGCAAGACCTATATAACTGAAAATGTGACTTTTGCTAAGTGACAAGTTCAGTCAAATCTCCTCAGGATTTACCCTAGAATCATGTACAGCACCTTATGGATCTTTTGTCAGTGTCTGCCATGTGGATGAGTCACAGCCATTGCTTGACCAATTTGCTGTCTGTGAAAGCCCGAGAGAATTTTTTTCTCTCTAGGTGATTCTCCTTAGGCACACTGTACATCACTGATCACTTTCTTCTGTGGCCCCATAGTCTCCTTGATCAGAAAATGTGGGACACTACTGAGTTACAGGATATCACAGCAGAGGTTCTCTTATGTGTTGAGTCCTCCCAGACCTCAAGGGGCTAGGGCCAAACTATTGGCTGTCCTTTTAGCCCATCTATCTCTCTAAAAGCCCTTTGTAAAAAATATAAATTTTAGGGAATTCCTACCAACCATTAAACTAGTCTACGTAGAGAGAAAAACTTCACCTTGACTGGTTTACCTACTCTCTTACCAAAGAACAGTGGTAGGGTGACAACTTTGCCCTGCTTGTCTTGGACTCCTCTGATTTTAGCTTGAAGATCCCTAGTCCTGGATACCCAGTGTAGCCCTGGACAAACCAAGATAGATTTTATCCACAAAGTAGCAAAAATAGTTACAAAACCATCACTCAGTCTTGATTGACACAGACGATTTGGTAGAACATTTTAAGAATAAAAAATAAAAAGTCAACACCATGAAACGTCTGAGAAATATAAATTTGAAGGGGAAATTAATCTAGAACAGAAGTTTAACCTCTCTGTAGGTACAGGTAATGTAAGTGTGTAGAAAAAGCTAAAGATCTGCAACATGGTGCTCTTCTGGATGTGTTCAGAAGCAATCTTCTGTGTCAGGAACACTGCAGGAATGTGATTTAAGTGATTACGTCAGGAGCAAAATGGACCTCTGTGCCCTATTGTGTATTAAGCTATTTTAAAGACACAAATTACCACAGAACTAGTACTTGCCAGTCAGATGATGGTGAAAATGGCTCCCAAACTGTGAGACACACCACGAAGTCGGGAAACTCATGGAGAATGTGCCAATTTGAGAGCAGAATTTGTTAGAAACACCCACTGCTGCAGATACCTGCTTGTCCTTGGGCACACAGCAAACACTGGTGAACTCAGTTGCCAAGGCAGCTGTGTAAAGATTACACCTCAGGGCTCCTCAGCGCCTGCGAGAGCGCACCTGCAGGGAAATGGACTCGCCTGGAGACCCAGGCAATTACCCCTCAGCCTCACATTTAGCTCAAGGGGTAGGTAATAAACACACACTGGAGAGGTGTGTGCTGCTTTAAAGAAAACTAACAGTGGTGCAGCCATTTCTCTCCTTCTACAGACCTACTCTTTCAGTTGAACCAAAATGCAAAAAACGCAGCTCTTTCCTCTGTAAATATGTACTCCACAAAGGCCTGGGGGAAGCTGGAGGGAGAGGAGGAATGAAAAGATGAGCAGAGGGGGCCCAGCCCTAGCTCAGTTCTTTAAGTGGCTGCTTCCACAATGCTGGCAGCCTCAGTTTGCTGTAGTTCGATCCCCACAACACTCCAGCCATGCCAAAGTGCCCTGAAGGCATTCAAGGAGAAAAAAAGAAAAGGTGAGCAGAAGGACTCCTGGGAAGACCACTTTGGGAGAGAATCTTCTCAGACCTGGGTAGTTATCCTGAGATTCAGAGGTTTCTCCTGCCTGTCTTGCAGGGGAGGCGGTAAGTCAGAATCCCCCTGGACTAGCTTTCTTCCATTCCACTTGCCTGCCCCAGGCCCAATCCCCAGAGGTTCCAGCAGGCCCTTCTGAGAGGGAACTAGC